TGTCTTTCCACAATCTCCACAATTTTACAAAGATGATGAGAGCCTTGGGACACCCTTAACATATTTCTATGAAAATTTTTTGCACACCACATCTTGGACTTATATCTGAAGTTCTTCTCTGGCTTGTGAAAAGGTTAGACTTGAACTTTACTGAAGTCTAAGAATGAATACTCAATATTACTTACTAGTCACATAGAAACAGCATATTGTTGCAAAGTTAAAAGAAGAGTTCGATAATTTTTGAGTTTGACAGACTTACTTAAAACCTGTTAAAAATTAGTTGAGTTTTGAACTTCTGGCCAAGATAGTGGTGTAGGTAAACACAGTACTCACCTCCTTCCACAAACGCATCAAAATTATGACTAAACTAGCAACCATTCAGAACCTTCAGAAATTGAGCTGAATGAAGTCCTACAACTACAGAATTAAAGAAACCACATTCACTGTGACTGGTCGGAGGGGTGCAGACACAGAACAGCCTGGTTCCATACCCACATGTGGTGGATAAAAATCAGGAGGAATCACCTCAGGAACGAGGGGTCCCAGCCCCATGCAGGGTCCCCAAGCCCAGGGTTCGAGTACCAGGGAGATAATCCCCGCAAATTCTGGCTGCAAAAACCAGCAGGGATTGAGGCTGTGGAAGAAACTGCTGGAATCCCTGGCAGTTCCTCTTAAAGGGCCCACACACAGACTTACACAGACTTGCTCATTCTGAGCTCCAGCACCAGGGCAGCAGCTTGAAAGGCATTAGAGACATACAGAAGGAACTGAAGTGTCTGGCATCAGGGTGAGAGTGGGGGGAGGGGGTCAGATTTCTCCCAGACATAAGTGCTGACAGAGGCTACTGTTCCTTTTTTGAGTCCTCCGCACACAGAACCAGAGAGCTGGCATGCGGGAACCATATCTGAGACTACATCAACCTGGCTCCCACTGTCTGTCCCAACCTGGTGATTCCCTGAGGCCTTGCGCCATCCAACTTTTGGGCCTACCCAAGCTATTTTCAGTGACTTTTCCATAGCAATGGGTTGTCTTGGCCCATGCTCCAGATTTTTCTAAATTATCTGAAATGAGCAGCATCAGGCTTCAGTTAGCCCTGTATCTCGCACTAAGTTACCCCAGGCTCAGCACAAGTAGCAACCATTTGCAGATCACTTTGTAGCTAATGGTATTTGACCCTGGACAGAATACAGTTGGTGGCTGGCCTTGGACATGCCACTAGCAATCAAGGCTCAACTGCAAGAGGAGGGTGTACACAGGCCACACAGAGGGTGCATCTGAAGTACCCAACTTGGGTGATAGGGGAAGCTGTGCCACTGGACTGTACAGGACACCTACCACATTAGGCCACACTATCAAGACAGGGAGTCATAGTAGCTCTACCTAATACATAGAAACAAACACAGAGAGGCTGCCAAAACGAGACAAAGAAACATGGCCCTAATTAAAGAACTGAAGAAAACTCCAGAAAAAGAACTGAAAAAAATGGAAACAAGCAAGGTACTAGATACAGAGTTCAAAATACTGGTTTATAGGGATGCTCAGTGAACTTAGTGAGAACTTGAACCACATTAAAAAAGAGCATGGAAACAAAAAAAATGGTCAGAAATGAAGGATACATTAAATAAAATGAACAATTTACAGGGAGTAAATAGTAGAGTGGATGAGGCCAAGAATCAAACCAGCAATTTAAAATATAAGAAAGCAAAAAAATGCCCAATCAGAAGAGCAAGAAGAAAAAGGAATACAAAAGTGTGAGGATGATGTAAGGAGACTCTGGGAAAACTTTAAGCACACCAATTTTCACATCATGGGGGTACTGGAAGGAAAAGAAAGAGATCAAGAAAATTTAAACCTATTTGAAAAAATAATAACAGAAAACTTCCCTAACTTGGTGAAGGTAACAGACATACAAGTCTAGGAAGTGCAGAGATTCCCAACCAAGATGAACTCCAAGAGGCCGCCCCCAAGACACACCATAATTCAAATGCCAAAGGTTAAAGACAAAGAGAGAATCTTAACAGCAGCAAGAGAAAGGCAATTAGTTACCTACAAGGGAGCCCCCACAAGACTGTCAGTTGATTTCTCAACAGAAACTTTGCAGGCCAGAAGGGATTGGCAAGAGATATTCAAAGTGATGAAAAGCAAGGCCCTATAACCAAGATTATTCTATCCAGTAAAACTATCATTGAGAATTGAAAGACAGATAAAGAGCTTCCCAAACAAGAAAAAACTAAAGGAGTACACCAACACCAAACCAGCATTATATGAAATGTTCAAGGGTCTTCTTTAAGAAGAAAAAGATCAAAAATATGAACAATAAAATGATACATATGTGTATCAAATGAAACAAATACATATCTATCAATGAAACAAATACATATCTATCAAAAAATGAACCCAAGAAAACAAAATAAACAAGCAGAACAGAAACAGAATCACAGATACAGAGAACATTTTGATGGTTGCCAGATGGGAGGGGGCTTGGGGTGATGGGTAGTTACAAATTGGTAGTTACAAAGTAGTCATGGGGATGTAAAGTACAGCATAGGAAATAGAGTAGCTAAAGAACACAAACACATGACCCATGGACATGGACAATGGTATGGGGATTGCCTGAGGGAGTGGGGGAGGGGCGGAGTGGAGGAGGGCAAAGGGGGAAAAATTGGGACAACTGTAACAGCATAATCAATAAAATATAATTAAAAATTGAAAAATTAAAAAAATATAAAATAAATGGGGTGACTGGGAGGAGGTGGCCTTGGAACCTGGAAACAGCTTTATCTATACCCCATCATGCTACCAACAGACCAGCCATTTCTAAAGAGCAGGACTTTTTCCTTCTAAATTCCTTCTTAATTTAGAATTCCCTTCTTAATACTCCAAGTAGTAATTTTTAGATATCATCATCTCAAGTTATCAAAGATGAACATCTAATTATCTTTCTGTTTTCTCCTCAAAATAAAATGCTTTGGTTATTGCCTTGAATGAGAAATGTTATAGTAAAGAGAATACCCTTCTTTTCAATAACCATATTAATAATTTAGTGACCAAGAGAGATAGAGGAAATCTAATGGTGTCTTATGACAATAACACTGATCTTCATGTGGTGCTAACATTGTTAAATATACTTTACATGTGCGTTTGGGGGTATGGAGAAATTATTTCCATCCATTCAGAGAGAAGAGATAAAATTAAAACTAAATATAACTTTGAATACACTCTGCATACAAAGTGTTGGAAAAATGGGTACAATACATGACATGCTACATAAAAAAAAAAATTAGTTCAACTACATTACAAATAAACCATGCTCTCATGGTCTAGCCTGGGAATCCAACTAACAATTATTAAATTGTTTATAAGTTTCAAATAACAAATCGCAAAGCCAATATCAGAAATACAATGTGTTCTTTTACTGAGGACTGCCTTCTTTTCTTCTTTTAAAAGATTTTAAGCCCTGGCTGGTATGACTCAGTAGATTGAGTGCTGATCTGCAAACCAAAGGGCCACCGGTTCAATTTCCAGTCAGGGCACATGCCTGGGTTGTGGGCCAGATCTTCAGTAGCGGGTTCATGAGAGGCAACCACACATTGATGTTTATCTCCCTCCCCTCTCTTTCTCCCTCCTTCCCCCCTTTTCTAAAAATAAATGAATATATTTTAATAAATATATAAATAAATAAATAGCCTTTATTTGTTTATTATTAGAGGGCGGGGGAGGAAGGGAGAAAGAGAGGGAGAGAAATATTGACACGAAAGAGAACCATTGATCAGTTGCCTCTCACACACCTCCAACCAGGGACCTGACCCACAACTCAGGCATGTGCCCTGACCAGGAACTAAATGGATGGCCTTCGGTTTGTGGGACAACACCTAACCCACTGTGCCACACCATTCAGGGCAGGACTGCCTTCTATATCAAATCTAATTTAGTCCAGCTTCTCACCATGGTAACAAGCCCTTTGCAAAAATACTCAAAGACATTTCACATCTGAAAAATTTGCCTTGTATTCCTTCACCACACATAATGTCAAGAAAAGCATGCTTTAAAGGTCCTATGTAATCAGAATTGCCTTTAAAAGAGGCACAAAGAAAATCTTAAATCATTTCTATTAAAATTAAATCTACTTCATAACAATCTTCAGACTGGGTGAACAGCACCAAAGAAAAGAATTCTGAGGTGTTTTGAATCCAATACCATATCTTTAAAAATAGTTTATCCGTAACATTGCTTCAGGTACAATTGAAGTGCTTCTCAGTTGGCTCATATTGACTATTTCTTCATAATTAAAAGAAAGTGTGCGTGTGACATTGGGCAAAGAGGACTGAAATAGGTTTGGTTGTGGCTTTTCATAGATAGACTAAGCCAGAGAACCAGCTAAAGGAGGCTAGGGAAGGAGACCAGCATAATGAAGACTACAATATAGCAGCTACCTCTGAATTGCTGTTGCATGGAAACTCAAGAACTAAGCTTTGTTCCTACCTGTGTTCTACAGAGCTTCTGGGAATTCTATTTGTCTCTGGGGAATCCATTTTGAAATTTAATTTGAAGTCCAGCATCTGCAGAATCTCTGCAGTTATTTAGTTATTTTGACTATGATTTCAGATATCTGTTTTTTATTAGGGAGACTTTTTTAAGTGACGTGAGTCAACAACATTATTCTGTATTCACCCAAGAAAATAAAAGCATTTAAGTTAAACTACTTTAATATATTTTTTGGCTCCTTGTGACCATATACCCATAATGCCTACCATACAGATTCTAATGCATCCAGAAGAAGTCTAGCAGTAATAAAGCTATAGGGCTAACTTGTCCTTGGGATCCAATGGGGAGGAACATCTTGAGAGAGAACTTGAACACTGAGAGAACAGAGGAGCTCTGAAAAAGCTATGGCACAAACTTAACTATCAGCTCTCAAATGTCATGAATAAAAGGTGTGAAACAATCTCAGGGACGAAGGAAATGTGGGTGCTTACTTGGACAAAAGTTTCAATACGTACCATCAAATTTCTTGTAATGGGAAGCAAAGACGGCTTGCAAGTTATTGCACTGTTCGTTGACCACAGCTTTAAACTCATCTTTACTTTGCAGGCTGTACTTCTCCTCCATCTCTTGAGAGCAGCATGTATAACCCTGGGGGCAGACCTTCAAATGATCACCTGAAAGATAAGGTGTAGGACACTCAATTTTTATCATCACTCATCAAGTCCAAGAGGGAAGAATTTGATGTAAGGGAAGAATGTGATGAAGCACACTCTCTGCTTCATATCCTCTATGAGGTGACTGCAAAGGCCTAGGCATCTTATGAATGGAAACTTTAACTAAAGACATCTAATTCCTTCTTGGAAAAATAAAATAAGAAAGCCTCCTCCCAAAGACAAATGAACCTTCCAATCAGGAAGTCTACATCACAGGAAAATCAGCGTGGCCAGTAAACAAGAATATCATTCAATATCAACCCAAGTCTCTTTTCTAATTCTTCAAGACTCCATTAAAGTCACACAAATAAGACATAGTTTTTCTAGCTTCAGGAGTTTACACTTCAAGAGAGAATACCTTTAATGAAGAATGATTTATAAAATGTGACAACACCCCCAACACTGAACAAATATAAGAGCATTAGTTATACTGGGAAGAAGCAATGAGATACAGCATTTCAAGGAGTTGCCAACCAAGCAGAAATAAAGGTAGTTCATGCTGGATAATTTGAGTATATGATAAGTTAAAGGGTGATATTAAACGATCTTTAATTTTAAGACTTTCTCATCCAGAATCTTCTGTGCAGATGTTAGACACTGTCTTGACCTTATGACTCTGTGCGATGTAGCGACTCATCCCAATATAAACTAATGGTTTCCAATGAGTGTAATCTTTATGTAGTAAAGGAACCCTAAAGGTGAAGAGCAATGCCAAAGGCATATCACTCCACAGCAGCCAAATCCATATAGTATATACCTCCCCTAAAACAAATGCATTTTGCTTGTGGTTTGGCCATGAGAGGTTTTTTTTATTTTGTTTTTTGTTTTTGTTTTTGTTTTTAAATAGATCCCAAAGTTCATACACATCTTGCTCCTCCTATCACAGGACAAAAATTATGCTTTAAAGCTTTAAAGAGGCCATACCTCTCTTTCATAATGAACAAGAGATGCAGTGCCACTCAAAAATAAACCCACTAGGTACTTTAGCCACTACACTATTAACTGGTGTGGTAGAGGTACCCTGGTATAATTTTGTACAGATGTTTACAAGGATTCACTTTCACTGTTCCTTCTGCTATTGCTGTCCATGTTCCATATAAGAAAAATGGGATCTGAAAAGAATCAAGATCTCAAGAACTCAAGAATGAGTATATTGAAGACATATGAGCCTGTTAACGGTAAGCATGTACAGTAAGTAAAGGAATGGAGAATGAAGAGCAAATCTTTCTAACGATATTAATAATCGTGAGAATTGAACTAGGCCATGAGCTGGGCTTGCTGCTTTTTGGCTGCATGTGCTTAGAGGAAATAAGTCTTTACCTAAAATACCAAAGTGGCAGGGGCCGGGGGAGGGGCGTTACCACAGATAAAATTGAGTAGGCAACTTATTTGACTAATACTAGGATTGGCAACTGCACATATGCAAATAATTACATAATCATATATACTCCTGATCATTCTTCCTTCCTGGCAATTAAAAAGTGGGAAGAGTATTACTGCCAGACAAAATAAGGTATACAGCTGTAAGAACTATTTAAGAAAGGGAGTAAAGGAAACAATCTTCAAATAACTTCTTCATCCATAACTGCTGAAAGTCTTTTTGGCATTTTTTAAAGCCTTGGTCAACAGATAATTCTAACGGGGGCAGGGGAGGAGGGGGGAAGGTTGTGTACAAGAGTTTAGGAGCTGTGAAGCCACAGAGTATCTTAGATCTCATTAGTGAAACAAGAAGGGTTGCTAAGGCTCAGTTTTCTGGAAACACCTTTGTTACAACCAAAAACAAAACTCCCTTTTCACTGGTTAACAAGTTTGCAGCATGCCTTTGGTGCTGGCACCCATAATTAATGGAGAGATATACAAGTTGTCTCCTGGTTTCAAGGTTGAGGACTTCCCCCAAATGCAACCTGAATACATAAAATAATACAAAGAGCCCCAAGTAGTACAGTGCTTGTTGTAACTGTATTTAAAAATCCGTATCACCATATAGAAAATTAATTGGGCCCTGGCTGGTGTGGCCTTGTGGATTGAGTGGCGACCTGCAAACTGAACGGTCGCCGGTTCCCTTCCCAGTCAGGGCACATGCCTGGGTTGTGGGCCAGATCTCTGGCTGGGGTGTGTATGAGAGGCAACCGATCAATATATCTCTCACACATCGATGTTTCTCTCCCTCCCTTCCCCTCTGTCTAAAAAATAAATAAATGAATGAATGAATATAATCACTTAAAAAACGAAAGAAAATCAATCAGAATGCTCAGAATAAGAGTTTAAGATACACAGTGCTATTTAAATGAATTACAATAAGGGAACAGTGACTTCTTAAGGTTGTTACAGGCTGAAATTCATCATAGGCTGATTTTCAAGCCCTTGCAAACACTCTGTTGTAAAGTGTACGGAATTTTCAAGGCAAAACAATTCAAGAATTTGGAAAATAATCTGTTCACCCACTGTTAGCAGGTTCACATATATAATAAACTAACAGGTCACTTTTTGGATTCTATAAAAATACACTTCTAAGTCCAAGGAAAAGCACACTTTTACTCACACCCAATGCACACATGCACAGACACACACACGTACATCCTGAAGCCAGCAAATTCTAAGAGACAGCAGGAAAGAATAATGTTCTACATTTAAGAAGGTGCTAGACATTGAGGGGTTTAAACTTACCCACAGGAATTTTACATTGAAGAGACAATCTTTTAAAACAGGTAATGACAATAAAAGTTTTACTGTGAACCTGCTCAAAGTACACAGCACCATTTACCCTGACACATATAAAGGGTCCAGCAGGGCCCATGTACTCCACCCTTTACATACCCACCAGAGGCCCTCAGCAGGACCGCATGGAGGCCTGCTTATAGCTGAACACTGAAGTACATTGCTGTTTTGTCAATATCTAATAAAAAAGAAAAGAGACCACTTTCATTTCAGACAGAACTTTCCAGGAAGATTTTGTCTAATGGTAAAAGACTTGCCCGGGTAAAGGACAACAGGGTAGATACTTGGCTAATGTTTCTGCTGGCAAAGTCATCTTCCCCACAGTGCAAACAAGCTGACTCCAACACTCCACTTCTGCCCATATAGCCTTGAATGCATCACTTATTCTGTCTGCATTTCTAAAAAGCATTACTTAAAAATGTAATTTGACATTCTTGCCAAAAGCTTTGCCTGAGATGCATGCAGTCCAAGATACACTTGTGAATTAAATCCCAAGATGCACTTAGGCTACGGGGATTCAGTGACATAACCAGTTTCTGCTCTTGAGAAGTACAAGGAGGGAAAAGGGGGCAGTCTTGGTGCATTTAAAAATGGAACTATAGCTCCACATTTTGGTAAGAACTCAAGAAATTCATCTGATTTTTAAAATGACTATTTATACTTTAAGCACCCAAAATGGTTTATATTAAAAGCCAGGACATACATATTATTTGAAAGACATAATACATTATGTTTGAGACTGCTTCTAAAATGCTGTGTCTGAATGAAAAAGTCCTTTTCTTTCTAGCGATCTTTTCTCTAAACCTTGTGATCCTATATACTTCTCATTTAAGGATTTCACTTTTTTCTTTAGGCTGAGAAGGTGGAGCACAAGAACAACAGAATCTGATATGGAACAGGTAGACAGCCACTGCAGAGGTGGCACTGAGCACATGTATTTTTTAAGGGCCAAAGGTGATTTTAATACATACCCTTCCATAAAAATTTTTACTTGAAAGGCTTAAGCATTAGAACCACAGAAGAGCAGGGAATATTAACCAGTTACGCCAATAGCTCAAGTGAACAGTGGGTCATCATGATCCACACATAACATTTGTCTCCTATTTTTCCTTAACTCAACCTCCTGCTTCCATGGCCATCGCTGTGTGTACGTTCTTCCTTGTATCTCTTCTAATCCCTTAAAACTCTTCTGTTTTCCTCTTTCTTTTACTCTACTCATATTGTTCTTTCTTACCCTACGCCACCTCTTTTAAGCGCACATAACATGAAACCAAAGGATTTTTATCTGTTGTACTTGTTGAGGGTTCCCTGTTAATTTAAAAAGCAGGTGAACTGAATGCTTTATGGTTTTCTAAGGAAGCACCTAAATTAAGTTATGTTTTGTACATGACTCTTGATTAGTTTTTTTCTTTGTGGGTCAGTAGCCCTCAAAAGAAAAAAAGGTCTCCTAGTCCTGTCCTAGGAGGCTTGGATGAAATTCAATGAAGCGTGCTTTTTGAAGCTTAACTCTATGGCATTAAAAAAAAAAAAAAAAAAAAACCACACTCGAAAAAGCCAAACTTTTTTCAATTGCACCGGCTCTATGTAATTTCTCTTTAGCCTTAATATCAAGGCCTGAGTTTTCAAAGCTGAACAAAAACAACCACAGTAAATTACTACTCAATCCTGCTGAGTATGTATTGGTTCTTTGCTTTCTTTTGCAGCACTTCAAATCAATGGTTAAAGAAGTAGGCATTGAATATGAGGAATCTATTCCATCCTTTAACAGGGCTCTGTGGTGAACAATCTGTAGAACTGTGCTTTCTCATTTTATCTCATTTAATCATCTCACCAAAGACTGACTGATGTATAAATGGGATGCATCTTATGTCCACTTATTTCCGATTGCTCATAACCCACCTTCCCATACAAAATGTTGTAAATGGTGTTAGGTTTTAAGGCCAGCCCTCCCCTTATTTACTGTCAACTTGATAATTTTTAACTATGACTTATAAGCATTTCTACATCTCTCTCAGAAAATTCATTTTGGAGTCCAACTAAATGCCAAGAAACAAATGTCTCTCAGATTCTCACATATTTGGGTCGGGTGGTACTAGAGGAATACTTGTAGTTATCATTAAGATGATGGCTTTCTGGACCTGTAGGAGATAAAGTAAGTCTCTAGAGATTATCCCCCCCCCGGGGTCCTTAATGGAGAAAACAGCAGCCAGAAACCTTTATGGGACACAGTGGCAGAGAACCCA